TACAATCCCAAGACCCAACAATACCAGTTTGGCCCCATTTCTTCATTGTCATTTAAAATGAAATAACCACTCGACSGTATCAACATTATAATGATTCGTAATAAAAATAAAAGAATAAACTAAATTTATTTAATTCTTGTAATTTTATCATATCTATATTTGCCAATTGTAAAAAAGCTAAATACAAAGTTTAAAATTGAAATATAATTCAAGTTGAAAAACCAAAATTATGAACGAGCTACCTATGATCTTAAACTTTTACAATTATTTCGTTTCAGTCACGAAGTTTTAAAATATCTATTCTACTTCCTAAAGTTTTAGATTATTTTCAAATTTGTCTATAACCATGAAGTATTGGGTTAACTGAATTGTTCCTTTCTTAATATTCACTAATCAATGGTTAAACTAAATTAAAAGATATTAATATAGAAAGAGACTAAATTAACTAATAGGGACTAAATTGAAAAAAAAATACCCTACTATAATCAAAGCTTTACATGTCAGGTAAATATCGACAAAAAAAATATAAATGTTGACTGCATTTTATAAAAAATTATGAGCAAACATTCAAATTAACATATAAGTATTTTACTATTTATAGATAAATTAAAAAAATAGTGATACAATCTTTTATCTGTATTAATATATTTTATTATCATTACTACTTTCATATTTTGTTAATATTTTTTTAATTTATTAATTCATCTTTTATGTTGATGTCTACCCCAACAAACATATATATTTTGTATTTTATTTATTTATTGGTTAAAAAAAGAAAGAAAAAAAAAAGTTATGATGGTGAGTAGAAGTACAAGGTGTCAGAGAAGAATGTTTTGTTAAATAATAATAATAATAATAATAATAAAAGGAAAAAAAAGGGCATGACTGTGAGTGGGACACCGAAAGCTGAGGCGATGAAAGTTGAAAGCTGTGGTTCCAAAAACAGTTGGAGCCATTATGAGCCCATATGCCTCACAGTTGGATTTTGAAATTAAATATAAATAATAAATAAATATCCCATCTCCTCTATTATTATCCTTTATCATTATTATTATTATATTATTATATGCCTCGGAATAACCAAAAATTTAAATACTTGCACTTCGTTGACAATCAAATTGTATTCTACCAACAAAAAATAAAAAATAAAAACCTTTTCTTCTTTGATTTAAGAAACTTTTTTTTTTGTCTCCTCATGTGTCTACACTTCAAAATTATCTATATATGTATTCTTTATTCTATCTAGTTGGTTTATTATTTTTATWATTTGTTTATGGTGAATTCTGATCCGACTTGAGAATTGGTACGGATCGGGTAGACCAAGCTTTTGGAGTGARCTTAGTGAGAAAGAAAACAAACTGACGTTCAAGTTAATAATAGGCTGATCTTAGTTCTCAAGGTGAGAAATTAGATTGCGTACTTGACGTCAAAATAGTATTTAGTTAGGTCGCTTGAGAATAAGTTAGGTGGTTACTATATGTCGGGCTCTTTATCTCGACACATGACGTTTTCTTTAACTAATAGCAATTAGACCAAGCTATCAGGTTATAGTTGGTCGAGCATTAAAGACAGATYGYTTTGTATTTCATGATTATGAAGAAAGATTTAGAGTTCTGATTCTTTCCTAGTTTTCCACTTGGCAAGTCATATTTTGTCCTCTAACTCCCTCATGTAAAAAACTAGTAAAAMAAATAAGTTTTAAACTGCGGAGAACATTTTGTTAGAAATTTTGGAAATGTTCAGATATAAAAAAAATAACATAAAATGAGTTATATTATTTCTTTCAAAAAGGTTTCAACAAAAATGTACTATTTTTTAAATTGAAAAAAAAAACAATAACCCCCTATATTATAAATTTTATTTGCTTAAATTATTGGTCTAAATTTTCTAATTTATTGTTGACCCATTTTCAACTATATAAGAATAAAGTTGACAGAGAAAAAAGTAAAAAAAAAGCCAAAAAGAAAAAAATTGAAAAAAGAAAAGAGAAAAAGAGGGATGCAATTTTATAACATGCACAATCAATGTGAAAGGACTTGAGTTAATTCATTGTTCTTTTTCTTTATGAACCCCACTTTTCAAAAACATTGGATTTTGATATGTCTCTTCATAATGGAATGTAGACCAATTTTAGGTCAAATGTTACATTCCTCTTCTTTTTGCACCAATTAGATGGAATTTTATTTTAAAATGTATGATAGATATAATTATTATTCATGATTATATTTTGAAACTTTTTTTTTTTTTTGGTAATAGAGACTTACAACCATAAAAACCGGATAAAAAAATTCACACGTGTCAGCCATTTGGGAACAATAATGAAAAATGTCCTCCATCTGCCATGGTTTTTCACTTTTTAAATTATATCAACATTAACTTCTTAAAAAAACGTGCGTAGAATTAACCTATTTCATCCAGGTCAAAATGAAAAAAAATATATATTTGTCATCTTCTCATCCCTACTTTAAAATGGGGAGTTTCTTCATTCTTGTGAAGAATTCTGACACTTCTATCGGATCATAGATCGATCATGGAAGTTAATACATGAAAAAGTTACAAAATTTAAATGACCGGGAGAGAGGGTATGACAATAACAGTTAACTAGTGGGATGATGATGAAAGAAGACTATATTTTTTATGGGTAATTAATTAGAAATGTTAAACCACCAACATGATTAGCTAGCCTGCTTTGCCATGTCTTCAATCAATCATTTAATATTTGCAACTTTATGATTCAATCACATTTATCAAATCTCCATAAGATCTTTCAAAGAGATCTCTCCCAAGTCTCAACTCAAAAGGCATCTTATTCTTAATCTTATCATATGGTACCTGATTTTTAATGCCCTCTAACTGTTTGTCAAAATGCCCAGCCCAATTTGGCCGCCGCCCCATACGCCCCACGGCGCTGCCCTTTGCCATTGGGCATGTTTGGTTATTTCTTGGCAATGCGAAGTTGGAAAGCCTATTTGTCTTCTTTTGTCTTTATTGCTATGATGCAACATAATGGGATGATGTTAGAGTTGGAGCTATTCAGCTTATGATTTTGAAAATTTTGAATCTGGGTGATTTGGATTTGATTTGAGTTTTAATATAAGTTTGTATAGCTSGTATGACTAATAAATTCGTGGGTAAACTTCTTCGACTTGGATAAACCACTAAGTCGAATACTCCGACAAGTAGCTTGTTCTCAAAAGTAATTTTTTGTTTACATTTTTAAAGACATTCTTTTTTTTTTATGACCATTTGTAAAGATTGTTGTGTGTTTATAATCTCTATTTATAATTTCATGATAATGAAAGAAGAACTAAATAATATGTCATCCSGGATATGAGAGAAGAAAAAAGATATCCTAATAATTTTAACTAATTTTATAGTTATTTTTAAACCACTTATTCATGAGTTTGTGATTTTTTCTATGAAGAATATCTTGGATTGTTTTTTAGAAAAACAAGTAACTAATCCARCGAATTAAAGGAAAAATAACAACTTTTATATGATTAAGAAACATTTTTTCACTAAATTTCGGTCACGTTCATCTTGAAGTCATTTATATTTTGAGAATATTACATTACAATATATAGGACGAGAATTTGAACTTAGGACAGAAAAATAAAAATATTCATATTTTGGCGAGACCATTCATATTTAGAAAAAAAAAATGGCATATTCTAATTTATCATACAAGACAATGAAATTTTGAAATAATGCAACCGCATATTTTATTTATTAACGTATACACGTTATCGAAAAAAAAAAGTTGGGTGTTATGTTACACACAAGTTTAACAAAATTGGATGCTTTTATTTTCCTTCTACTTCTGACCTTCCAAATTAAGAAAAAAAGAGAGAAGATAAAATTTTATTCTCTCTCGTTTCTTCTTCATTTTCTACCTTTTCCAATCAGAAAAGTAAAGTATTTTTCTTTTTTCCTTCTGTTAATTCTCTTCCCTTTTTGTATTTTCTATCCCAACACAGAATATTAAGAAAATCATGAATAAATCTATTACTTTTGTTTTCTCGAAACCCAAACCAAATCGTTTACCACTTCGACATAAATAAATAAAGCAGCCATTTTTGTATTTCAAAGTTAAAATGGCTACTTTTGAATTATTGGTCAGGCCATTATTTGTGGTCGAACTGGATTGGGCCATAAACTATAACAATACCGGCCCAATTAGTATTCTAAAGCCCACTCTTCGAGGACTGGGCCATTGGCGATGGTCCTTCTATTATTATTTTTTTCTTTTAATACATGATATAAATCCATAAGTTTCAATTTACCAAATTATAGCAAAATTTGACCACCATGCTCCTAATCCATAAGGTATGATTTGACCAAAATAATTGAAATTTTACGTGATAATTATATAGTTTTTTAGTTCAACAATATATATGATTGAGGATTCTATATTTTGACATTTTAGTTAAGGTTATAATATTTTAACCACTATGCTCCAAGTCGACTATATGATATTAGATTATTGTTGTACTTGTAGTTTTCGAGTAATAGTAGTTGGGTTGAATAAGAGTTTCTTGGTTAAAAATTACTTTTGGTCTTTGAACATTTATTGAAAGTAACGATTTAATCATTGTACTTCTAAATTAGTTTAATTTTAGCTTTTGAACTTCAGTATATAACAATTAAATCTACGGAGTTTAAAGTTTGTAATGATTTTAGTTTTACTGTAAAAAAAAATTGTTAAGATTTAATAAAATTTATTATAAATCGATAAAGTGACGAGAGACCAAATGTATTTTTAAATTATAAAGATTGAATCGTTAAATAATAAAAACCGGCGCTTGATTTCCATTGACGGTAGAAACAAAGCTGTTACAAAATTTAAAAGGTAGAAACTAAATCGTTAATAACTTTGATGAACATTACCGATTCAAAAGTATATAAATTATAAATTAAAATTTTTTAACCCATTTGGAGAGGAAATTCCACGAAATTTACTCAATATACTATTTTAATTAAAAAAAATAAAACTATTCAAATTAACAGCACCGAAGGAAGATTGAGAAATCGACTTCACCGGTATAGAAATAGAAGCCGGAACAATTATCAAACTCAACCAGTTACAATCTGAGTTTGATTCCTGGCTAAGGAAGCGAATTCGCGCACGGCGGCGGAGTTGACGTCTGATTGTCCGCCGGATCCTTGCTTTCTCCGGTCGGAGGATTCATATCCTAGGGTTTTACTTCTCATCTTGTTGTTTTCTATCATTTTTGTTTCCTACTCCCGTCCGATTACCCGAGGATCAATTATCCCTCCGACCATGTTCAAATTTTGGTATGATCTCTTTCTCTTCTTAGTGGTTAATCTTGATTCTGCATGTTAATATTGTGATTTTCTTGTGTAATTCTTTGCAACTCTGGTTCTTCGATTTTTGAGCGTTATGGTTAATAAAGCTGCCTTTTCGACTTCGTATACCACTTGATTTTGGATTGAACCTGATTGATAATTGGTTTCCGATTGATTGATTARTTAGGAGATAGTTTTAGTTTTTTGTGGCTGGTAATTGAGGGGTTTAGTAGCTTATAGGCTTATCATTTCCAGCTGTTTGGAACTTCCTTTGTTTAAGCATCTGCTATCATGCTCTGTTTTGTCAAATTTCTTGCTACAAAGGCAAGAGGGGGGTGTTTTATATCATTGAGAATGTTGGTTCGTCCCGTTTGGGGGTTCCTTAGGGGCGGATTTACTCTGCATAGACCTGGTCAAACCGCATTCAAGCATTTTCGGTCCGACACATTTCTCCCCACTGCTGTGTTTGCACTTGGCAAAGCCAATTTCTTGGGTCCCGAAGAGGTCATAGACTCGCCCTTCGAGTTTATTTCAAAAGACGTCTTAATAGAATACATTGGAGAAGTAAGGACTAAATGCAAGCAAAAGAGAGATCCATCTGGAAGTGCTTCGTTTCCCATGTCATTCTTTTAAAGCCACAATTGGGAAGTTTGTACTTGCAGAAAGCAACCGTTATAACTTGCGGGAGAGTATTTGTTATTTCATGTTGTGGATAATTTGTTCATCGAGAACAAGGTTTTTGATTAGGGGGAAAATGACTAGCTAATGCCTTCATCTGGATTTGGCATCACTTCTTTTTATTGAATAGCGAGCATTCTATTCCACCTCATTTAGCTCTGGATTTTTCTTACTTCCCTGTTGTTCAGTTAGAAGGAAATGTATTATTCTTAGTTGCAACAGTTGTTGAATGGTGATATGATCTGATTCCATTTCAGCCTTTTTCTTTCTAATATGATCAGAATAGTCATTGACGCACTCGAGTGTTTTTATGTATACTTTCAGGGGATCCCAGGAGGAACAGGTACGTCCTCCACAAGAGGTTACCACACAATCATGGTATCCAGCATCTGTTGTTGGTACCCCCAGCTCCTCTCGCCCTGGAACACCAGGTAGCACCTCCTCCAGCCATTCCAGTTCACAGAGGCTTTCTGATAGGCCACAATCTCCGTCACATGTTTCACCTGCTGAAGCTGCCGGAATTATTTCTGCTTTGAAGGACAAAAGGTAAAGTTTAAGGTCCTTGATTATCACAAATTATGTCTGTGCCCATTGCTTTCTTTTGTTCTCAGTAACTATATTCATAATAGCCAAGGGGTATCAAAAAATTCCCCCAATCAGCATTAATAAAAAAGAATTGCTGTTACAAAAAAAGAAAAAAAAAGGAAAAAAGAGAAAAAGAAGAGATATAGCTCTGTAGAGAAACATTAAAATGGATGGTACTGCAAACTCTCTTTCTTTAGAAATAGCTTTAAAAGTTCTAAAGTTTCTGTAGTCATGGCTCCTTAGCAATTTTTTTGTTAACGCCCTCTCATAGAACTCGCCCTTTTGTTTTCTTGGTATGAACTTTTTACTCCTTTCAACAACGATTATAGTCTATCACCTTTTTATTTAAAAAAAAAAATATATATATATATATATATATATTTGGAAGAGCTTTTTGTAAGCTCCATTGGCAAGAGGCAATTTTATACCATCCACGAAATTTTCTTATTAAGGGAAAAAAAGAGTTAAAGTCAACACCTTAAATGTTGGAAATTCTCACTAGTATGGAAGATAATTAAAATATTGTAGTTCATGAACTCTTTTTACAGTAAAGTATCATGAAGAGACTAATAACAAAGTAGCAAAATTTTCATTTCCAAAAAAACAAAAGGTGTAGCAAAATTTAGTTGGTTCAATATTTTTTTCTTACTTCCTTTCCAATGAAACCCCAAACTGCAACCTTCTGTATCTTCTACTTTTCATTTCTCAACAAGGTCACTCTTTTAGTGTTAATTCTTGTGAGGAAACCTATGAAGTTGCATGCAGCATGTTTATGGGTACTTGTAGTACAATTTTTATTTAATATTGATTTAGTGGTTCCTGATTGCAAATGCACGTTATGAATTAATTAACCAAACCAGATTGCAACCTTCCTGGTTTCATCATTGAGGATATTGRCCATTCTCTGTTTTATTTATCCCCTTTTTAATCTGGTCAGTGTTGATGAGTTACGAAAGCTTTTGTCTGACAAGGATGCATATAATCAGTTCCTCCTTTCACTTGACCAGGTCAAAATTCAGAACAATGTAAGTTATATTTCCTCCCTTAGTTCTTAAATGCCTCAATTTGAAGTGTAAATGTAAGGAATTTAAGTACAAATGTTAATTTGGTTGTTTCAGATAGAGGAGAACTGATTTGCTTTCTGATGGTTCTCTAATATCTTGAGCATACTTTATTTTCTTTTATTCATGCAGTTTAGCCTTTTCTGATTCCATACAAGCAAAATGAAGGGCACTTTCTCAATATTTTTTTAGTATAATACCTTCAAGGATAGAATATTCGTSTTAATGAAATTTCAGTTAAGAAAGTAGTGGTATCTTGATCACCATAGTCTATTACCCTTAGGTTTGTGGCAATGGGGAGTGAGTTGTAATTGTCATAGACTAGGTCTGTTCCGTTCTGTAACCTGCTTCCATTTAGTTCCAAGGTCTGATTGGAGATCCTTATTGGCTTTGTAAAGTGAGCCAATCAAATCTGAACGTAGGGTCCATAGTGAACTGCTCCTCGAAATGATCAGCAAATTCTGACACAATCCGTTCCCAATGGATAATAAGACTGACAGGATTTTCCTTCCTAATACATCTGTTACTATATTATATCTCTCCTGGTTTAGAATAAGCTTGGACATTTTTTCAAGGAACAGTGGGAACTAGTAACTTCTCAACAGATTGCATCGTGCGGCTAGAGCAAGCTTTGCGCTTTGATTTCTTTGTTGGAATATTTTGGCCTGGATCAATTCTCCAAGAACCCCCCTGTTGAGCCTCTACCATTGCCCTAATGCCGGCTGTATCCCTTTTCCCATACACATCCATATCAGCTTTGGAAGCCTCAACAAGAGGGTTTGAACGTGGTGTGCTTGAACTGCAGTGCCATCTTTACCTTGGCCAAGTTTGGGAAGCTGCTTATCTTCCATCCACTCATCCCAAGAATAAAAATCAATCCTTTGTACACATGCTTACTTACACGCGCATCTAATATTTTTATACATTGAAAATRTTATGGTGACTACTTTAAGTATATGAAATACAGCTTGAGTTACTAATAACTGCAATGTCTTAAGGTCGTAACTGTACCAGTTGGGTCTACACGTCAAAATCAATCCTTTTAATGACTGTTTTCGTCATGATTTCTTTTGTTTATCATGTGGTTTTTATAGTTGGTCAATATTATTTCTCTCTTATATAATTGTCTCTGTAACTCCTACCCTGAATTATAATATCAAGTTTTTTTATAATGTTTGTCTTTTTCCCTTTTTAAATTTAAGCTGATCCTGATTAGCTTTGCCATTTTCTTATCAATTCTTTTTTTAATACTTGTCACCAGCTAAGAGATGAGCTGCGTAATGAAACTCTTCAGCTTGCTAGTAAGTAATATATATTTTTCTTTTAAGGCTTATATGTTTGTCTTTTCTTCTTAGAACTTCTTTATGAGACAATTGTGATTTTAACTTGAAAAGGGGAGAACTTGGAAAAGGAACCACGCATCATGGAACTCAGAAACCAGGTATGGGTTTATGAGTAAATGGTTAATTCTCTTGCTTGTTGAACATCACTTGCGCTTCTTCATGTTGAGCTCCTACCTTCTGTTCAATTATCTTGCAGTGCAGAATAATCCGCACCACAGAACTGGCTGCTGCTGAGGAGAAGCTAAATGAGCTTGACCGACAGAAAGAGGAGATTTTGAAGCTCTGTTCTCCTGCTTCGCTTCTCCAAAGGCTTCGAGGTATAATGTAATAGTAGTTTATTGGATGTTGTTATCATTGATGATTACGGTAAGGCTTCGACACTTCTATTATGAGATCCAAACCACTCCATCCAAAAGACCATACAAAACTAAAGACAATGGAGATAGGGCCTTGAATTAAACATCAAACTTGTGTTGCGACATTTTATTCCTCGAATTGTCCATTTTCACACGTCACAGTTTTATCCATTATATAAATCTGGCTTTGAATTGAACATCAAACTTGCTTTGTGTTTTCAGAGAGAATGAAGAACACAGAAGAGGAGTCAGAGAATCTGCACAGGCAGCTCCTTGACAGAGACATAGATTTGAGTTCTTTTACTCACAAATACAAGAAGCTGCGTATGGATTACCACCGGCGTGCTCTCATCCAACTTTCTGCCAGAACCACCTGAACCGAATCGAATCGAATAATACTGATAGTGGCAAATCATGTAAATTCTTACCGACAAACTTTACTCTACTGCGTATGCTGCAACTGCTACAAACTTTGTTTCAGGAGTAGAGGTTTAAATCATTTGAATCCCAGATGGGTTCTCTACCAGTTGTGTCATTAGTGAACATCTGTTCGTTTTATTGATGATAATAAGTTGATTCTTTTCATTTTGATGATCTTTTTTTCTTTGTAATCGCTGTGAAAATGATATATTTCCTCTTTTTCTTCACATCATTCTTGTACTCGTACTCTTTTCTCTCTTTTTTTCTAGTTAAGAGTTCTTTTTTCTTTTCCACTTTTTTTCCTCCCTCTTATTCTGTAGTCTTGCGTAGTTATATTTATATCTAAAGGGTTATTGGGCAAAATGACCTTATAAAAAAAGAGTATTTGATTAAAAGCCCGAAAATAAATTACAAGATGATAAGRAAAAATTTATTTTTCATTAAAATTATTTTATGATTTCAGGAGGAATTACAATACTACCAAACAAAAACTATATATACTTCATCGTCATTTCCATCCCAGTCCTGAAAATAATTTAACCATCCTTCCCTTGTCCAAAAAATTATTTACCGATCAAAAGTGAGGATAACTCAACACATATACCTCCAACCATAAGGTTGCGAGTTCGAATCCCCTCCCCAAGTATTCAAAAAAAAAAAAAATCCTTCCCTTGTTCAAAAAATTATTTACCGGCCAAAGCGAGCATAACTCAAACGGTAATTGACATATACTTTCAACCACAAGGTTGCGACTTCGAATCCCCTCTCCAAAGTGTTCAAAAAAAGAAGAAGAAGAAATTATTTACTGTAAAACCCTTCTCAATTCGATAAATTATTTTTACATCTTCGATTTTCACTTCTACCAACTTTTAAAAACTATTTTTTTACAATCCTCCCTGATCCAGATTTTTTTTTGGAAAACCAATTTTTTATCATCTTGAACCATGTTTTTTTTCTTTAGCTCAAAAGGTTAATGAAACGTTCCATTTTTTAAATTAATCTTTCAAACCTTGAAAAATGGTTCAGGACAATCCAAAACATTTTTTATTTGAGCAGAGAATCCAAACAATTTTTTTTTTTTAAGTTAACATTTTCTCAAGGTTTTAAAACTTTTTCAAATGCAGTTACAATGATAAATATGAAGTTTTTAAAGAAAAACTAGAAATTTTAAAAAGCAACAAAAAAATATTTTTATTTTTTCAGAAAAAACCGATAATACACCATTTTTCCTCAAAAAAGAACGTTTTAATGATAAATAATTTTTTTTAAAATTTAAAAAGAAGAAGAACAAGAAGAAGAAAACTGGAGGAGAGGGAAGAGAGAGGGAGGGGTATGATTGTCAACTTTGGGTATGTTGACAAATATGAAATATCATAAGGGCATTTAGCCAAATTACCCATATCTCAAAACACTTCCTTTCCAAGTACATGCTCTACTATATATTTGATAAGCACTGCAGCAGATGTATGGATTTCATACAGAAACTGAAACAATTTTCTGCCCAATGATTTCAAATAACAAGGAAAAAAAAGGCTGCAAGATGAAAGAACATTCATCTTTTTTTCTTTTCTATGCTATTCCAAGAACAATTCTTCTATATATAGGATAGATATGATTATGAATGCCGCTTACATGGCTTTGCTTTGACCTGTTAAGCAGTGGGAAGAGGAGAAACAGTTTCATCATTCTACAAGACGATCCAGCTCTTTCTCCCATTTCAATCCAAACATTTGGCGGCCGAATGGAACTATCAAGTTATAACGAAAAACCTGCAATAAAAACATCAGCCTATTGAAAAACACCAGTAGAAATATCAGGTAGAGCATAGTGAACTCATCACGATTATGGTATATTTAATCTTTTATACACAYTCTCCCAAAACCGCCACTTAAATCCCAGCAAGCAACCCAATTGGGAGGTTTTTAAGGAATGGTTCAACTGATCTACTTAAAACTAAAGGGAGTTGGAGCTGAAATTTGAATTAGAACCCAATTTGAACTTGCCAATGCCATTATCAAGTACCAGGAAACCAATAACTCACCTTGTCATTGATGTGTTGCAACTGCACCTTCAAAGCCTCTGTACTCTCGGACCATTTTGAATGATCTCCATTGCGTTTACTTTCAAATGCTCTATTCAACGACGATCGCCACACCGATATATTACTCCTGATCTCCTTGTTGAGCTCAACCCATTCTGGTGCACATCCATTTTTCGACAAAATGCGGTATAATGTGTCTTCTGCTGGATCAGCATGAGGATTAGTAGAGAGGTTAAGAGGTTTCCCTTTTCCTGGTAAGTTCTCAAATTGCCCTTCTTCCATGGAATTCCAAATCCGCCGTTCAACAACATTTATCAGATCAGTTTCAGACCTATCCAAATTATTTCAGTTAGCCTTAGACAACAGTAGGTTAAAAGCAGAGCACTTCAATGGAGTGTAAAATAAAAAAAAATCTATCAGAGTGAAGRCGAACTCTGAAGTTACATAGAAATAATAGCATAAGGCACAAGCATAACATGATGAATTTTGTTAATCATGGATATACTACTCGCAGAGGAATCAACATTTATAAACACAAGAATTTCCAATTAATTCTGCATATTCGGAAGATAGTTYACTGTCTCTAAATTTCAAGCATTTTCCAAGTGACTGACAACAAAATCACATGAAAGGAGGAAAATATCTCCAGAAATGAGCAATTCCGTGGAGGCAGATGATGAGGAAGCGTTTAATTTTATTGAACAACACTCGGATCAATAAATCATATTCGCACAAAACAAGAAATGCTGGATTAATAAAATATGAGCAATCGTTTAATACAATACAGACTCCAAATCAGAAATTAGCAAATTCTCAACAAAAAGTAAGCATTAGGATGAATCTCTCCGAAAGCGCAAATCAAATCAGGTAATGTAGGTATATAAAATGGAGCAGACGGAGGAGGACCTGACGGCGTTACGCTGGCCTCGAAGCTCCGGAGGAAGTTTACGGTCATTGACGGAGTCTATCACCGATGAAAGACGGTCCACTAACTTCTTCTCCGTCTTCTGTGATTTATTCGGCGAAGAAGACGAAGACGAAGACGACGATGAAGATGAAGATGAGAACCGTCGCCTGAATCCGGTAGGAACAAAAACCAGAGAGYCATCATCGGCCGGTGATCGCGGAATTAGGTACCAGAATGGCTTCGTCCTCGGAAGGCGGGCCGCCATGGCGGAGATTCGAGTTCGGGCTCGGCGGAGAATTTTTCCCGATTGGAGTTCTGGAGAAAAAGGGCCAGCTCCGCGGCCCGCAATGGCGGTTGGGGATTTTACACGTTGCTTCTTCCCATCCTGCCACGTGTGCTCAAAGGAAGCATGTCCACAACTGTTTTTGCTCTTTTTTACCAACAAAAGAAAAATAGTAGCCGTAAATTACGGCTGAGTTAAGTACATGTTAGTCATGTTTGGAAAATATATAATACGACCCTATCTCGTTAAATATGGATTTGAGAATCTTCATATCTCTCCATAAATATTAGATATAAATTCATGCTTATGCTTTTTTATACATATATTTTTATTTTGTGTTTTTCGTTCATAAATTTAACATGTGTAACATTGCTAGCTATTATGACAAATTCCACCAATCATATCAAGAAATGATTAGCGAATATAATATATGACGTTGGTAATTAATAATTATAAATTCAATTGTTATGGTTTGAACTTGTTTTAATTTGATTACTATGATTTTAAAAGTTCGGAGTGAGTCGATAGACTTTGGATCTAGTTGTTTTTTTTTCTCGTTCCGAAAGTTTTAATGTAATAGTTGTTAAAACTCTACCAATTGTCCTTAAATAATTTCTTAATTATCTAAAAGCAAACTAATTTCTCTCTATTTTTTACTCATATCTAAACTCTAATATAAGTAGCTAGCAAAATTAATCAATTTATGCAAAAAAAGACTTATTGTTATATAGGGAGAAAACATGTAAAATATTCATTATCCGTAGGTAGGGATGACTTGTGAGGTTTAACTAAAATACTCTGAAAAAAGACATTCAAAGAAAATTTAAAATCATAAGAATAAATCAAACACAAACTACAACAACTAAATTGAAATTTTAACCATAAAATTGAAATCAATCTACATGAGGACTAAATTTATAATTTAACCAAATATTTTGTCCTGCCCTTACTGCTTGTCTACTCTACCGAGGAAAGGGTTAGAAGTATCACCTTACTGCTTGTCCTGCCCTTCGAAGATGTAGACGGCCTCTCATGCTCTCTTCTTTTGCAAGCGGCAAGATCAATTTGGAGGAGCTTATTCCCTTTGATGATTTTTGCCTCATACCCAAACCTGCATTTCAGATAAATCTGGGCAGATACCATTGATAATCTTGATTCAGATCAGCTTTCCCCAATTGAGACCAAATGTGCATGGATCTTAGATTATGCTTCCTCGTACATCTTGGCATAGGACTCAAATCGACGCTCTATTAATTGTGGCGCGCTCTCAGTCGCTCCGTTGGAACCCACCCCCCTCCGGATCTGGTCTCGCTTTGCTGCTATTTCTTTCCATCATCTGCCTCTTGAGTACAACAAGCCAGCTCACTCTTTGGCCAAATTTTGCTTTACCATTTCGTCCTCATCCATTTGGTTCTCTAATTTTCCATCTTGGCTTAATTGTTGCCCACGTGGCAAGTTAATTTCTTAATAATATTCCTTTTCAAACAAAAACAAAAAAACAACCAAAGTTTGGGACAATTATTTATACCAATTTTTTAAAAAGGTTAAATCTCTAGTATTAGTAATATCTTTTTCGTTTTTGCAAAAGTATTAGTAATTATATCTATATCGGTAATATTGTTGTTAATATATATATACACTTCATTTATATTATAAATTTATTGACTGGTTCTAATATTAATACTAAATCTTTTAATTATGTCAGTCCAATAATAATATGTTGAGCCATTAATAATCTCAATTCGAATCTTCAACCCATATTTATAATGTTATATTCTAAAAAGAATCTTCAAGATAAAAATAACAAGGAGATCAAAATATTACATCTTCATTCGAGAAAAGAAAAAACCCCCCAAAACCAACAGCAGTAATTCAAACAAATTTATAACTCACAAAAAAATAGCAGTAATTGAAACAAATTTTGTGGAGATATTGATTGACGATTGACCATCGTTTTGTTTTCAATTATAACTATATTTTTTCATCGATTCACAAGATCAGTAAGAAGTTCGAACTGAAAATTTTCTTTCACTTCCGTCGTGAAGAAAGAGAAGAGTTTCAGTAATTTTTGCCGTTGTTGTCATCGGAATCATCTGTATTAGGTTCTTCGCACATCGGCGAGGTGAAGTAAAATGGACCGAGAACGTACTTGACGAAATCGCGATACGTCAAGCTCGGTCCTCGGAGTTGAACGCCGGACCGGCCGCCGGCGAAATCGGTCATAATGTTGCACGTCGGATCTGGAGAAGAAACGAGCCGCACTGAGCATTTCTTCGGATTCAATTTCTTGCCGTGTACCAACTTGTCGATTGTGATATCAAATTGCCCTAATTCGTCCGTCAGATCGCTAGCGTAGTGCATCACTCTGCTTCTCTCGTCCAAGCACGTTACAGAGACCTTACAATCTGAAATCGAGATCGTCGATTAACATCAATTGCAATCAACAGTTCGCAAAATCGAAAGTCATTCCGATTGAAATCGAAGATTAGATTCAGGATTACCTTTGAGCGGTTTGCCATTGATCCACTCGTTCCAGCCCTGGGTGCAGTCCTGGCAGAGCACTTTGCCGCCGATATGAATGACGCCGGCGTCATCCGCGGCCGCTACGATATTGGTGCAGGCGATTAGAACCGAAGCCGCCATTATCAGCCGCAGGAGAGGTGCCATCTTTGTGTCTGTGTGAAAGCCAGTGTGTGGATCGGGGAGGGTTACGGAGGATCATATAGGGAGCGGGATAGTGCGTTTCCTGCACAAGTAGAGGCGTGGATTGGCACTACTTTCGACGTGCGATCCACCATTGGAGAGTCAAAACAAAGCTCCAGCCAAATTTATATGGATGGAATGGATGGGTTATTATCTGGAAACAAGTCAAAACGAAGGTTGCCGGCGCTTTCCACTGCCTCCATTAATTCAAGAAAAGAAAAGAAAGGGGAAAAAAAGGTAAGACACAAGGTTTAACTTATATATATATATATATCATTAAAAATCTTTAAATTAATCAAATAAGTATTTTATTTAATTTTTTTTTAAAAAAATCATGTCCTCGTTAATGATAATTTTTCTTTATTTTTTTTAGTATAAAATACTAGTAGAGATTCGAACTTACTTTTTTGGTCGGAAACAGATGTCTTAACCATGAAAAATTTCTATTTCTTGATCTCTCAGTTCATCATATCGTGAGTTTAACTTTATAAATAACTTTTAATTTTATGAAATGCTTGAACTTTAAGGAAAGAAAATAACATTTTACTCTATTTCTCTCTGCATTTCTTTCTCTCTTTTTTTTTAATTTATAATTTCTAAAGCTTTCAAGAGTCTAAACTTTAGGGTTCGATTTTTATTAAAGTTTATATACATCTATTTATTTTATTTGCCCCATTACAAAGAGAAGAATCTCAAAGTTGTGTTGTTTGTGACGCAAATAATTTGAAATTATTCAACCATAAATAACATCAACTACCTTACTACCTTTCCTTGAGGCTCAAACTCTTGACATTTCTGGATTTCGTTTCCTATTAGAAGAATGATTTCTGAAGAATTCAAGACTCAAGTCTGAATACTGGATGGATTAATTTTTTACTAATAGTATCAATGGGAGGCAAGGCTGTTTAATTAATAGATAAGACATTTTCTTATAATGGCTTTTTTTTCTCTTTTTTGAGGGACTTATAATGGTAATTGAATTTCCACCAACCAAACGACTTCAATAAAATACAAACATAACTTGACAACTTCTCCCAAAAAAAAAAAAAAAAAAAAACACTTAACAAGTTGGTAGTATACAACATTCTAACCATATGCCGAAAATGGACAACTCAAACACACTGTATAGATCTCTTCACCAAATTCAATTTCTTGTAAAGCAAAAAGAAACCATGAAGCAACCCTCTGGTCCACTTTCCTGCATTCAACTGTTCCGAGTTTGAACACGAAGTCTAAAATCTAAGCCACTGTGGAAGAACAGATGAACTAAATCACGCCGTGGGGCAGGGCCCCCTAATTTGTCGCCTCGGTGCATGTTCTTCTTCAATGATGATCAACCATGGCAAAGTTGCTTCTACTCATCAAAGCAAACCAGCAGATTTTAGGGCTGCTTGGAAGTCTTCAACTGTGTCTCGAACCTGAAATAAAATTTCCGAAGGTACTGAGATAGGAATTCGATATCCATATAGATCACGAAAGCAACAGGGAATTCGAATGTTTCGACACCATGGAATGGCCAACATTGATTTTAAAAGCGACAAGAAAAAATAAGCAAAGCACATGGAGTAGATCTCGAGCTCTTTTTTAGCTAGAGGAATCTTACCTCTGTTACTTGAGAGCCAAAATGGATCTGAATTTTGCCCATAAGCATAATTTCCTTGTCGCCACAGAGCAAGTTAAACACAGCTCCTGTAGGAATATCACACAACAGCCATGGATTTTAAGTTAACAAAATACCAAGAAAATGTCTAGTTTGAGTTCAATAAACTAATACTGCAAAAGTTTGAACATATCAATAAAAAAGCAACCACTTGGTTCGCAGTCACAATCGTACCCCTATTTAGAAGTTGTTAAGATATAAAGGTTCAAATATGGATGCTTTTTTTAAATCACTGGGTTATTTCAAGGGTTGATATTAGCCACTACAGAGTTGATTTTAATCTGCAGGTTTGCTTTTTAAACAAATATTTTTTCTCAAAACACATACACAAGTGTTTGGTTATATTTTGTTAAAATTTAGTTTAATCACTAGTTTGTTTGATTGCAATATATATATAAAATTGATTCTATACATATTAAATTACTATAAAGTGATTCTAAAATGATTTCCAATCAATCACTTTAGAATTGAAATAATCAAATTGATTTATAATCATTTGGGTTGATCATCCAAAAAGTAATTCTAAAATGATTTTCAATCCATCACTCCAAAATCACTTTTTTGGATAATTAACTTTAGAGTGATTATTCAAAAGATGACTATAAACCAATTTTATTATTTCAAAAGTGATTTTTATCTTGTTACCAAACACACCATATTAAAAAAAAAATTATATATATATATTGGAAAAAAAAATTTTGCCCTCTAACATGACTTGGGAAGTTCATCCAAATAAGAAAAACAGGGACAATCAGAGTAAGAAAGCCAGCCTACAGCCAAAAAACAAAGTCTTAACAGCAATTAATGGCCACAGCATGACATCGTGCCTACATGAATTGTTCCTAGATCGCATGATTAAGGGTGTGTTTGAAAGTGATCGTAGGATGAGTGATTTTGAAAAAAAATAAATTTAAGTATAATTGATTTTTCAAAATCACCAAATGATACTTTAAAAATCAATTTAAAATTATTTTAAACTTTCCTAAAATCAATTTTTTAATTTGTCAAATATCATCGGAAAAGGAAAAGGAAGTGATTTTGACAATGGCAAAGTGATTTTGACATGGCCAAAATCACTCCCAAACACACCCTAAGATTTAGGGCAAATAATTCTCCTCAACCAAAAAGTGGAGAGTTGAGGAATGAGAAAGAGAAGAAAGCATTTTAAAAATGCAAGCTTACCCTTGCGCCCAAAACGCCCTGCCCTGCCAATTCTATGAAGGTACACCTCATTGTCAGGCTCAGGCTGTGAAGATCTGTATTTCATCGATTCTGAAGGAGTTTCATACTTCAGAGGAAGATCATAATTGATAACCAGATTAACCTAGTAAAAAGGAGGATATTTTAGGAGTGGGATATCAGAACCTGCACTGGCAGATACTATTAACAAAGAACAGGATGGGTTGGGAATAGAATTGATCTCAGTACCTGCTGCTGGTCAAAGCCCCGAGCAAGAAGGTCAGTTGAAATAAGCACTTTGGTCAAACCATCTCTGAACTCTTTTACTATTTTGTCTCTATCTTCATGTCTCAGCGCCCCTTGAATAGTAGTCACATCATACCCATAGTCAACTAGTGCCTTATGTAACATGCCAGCACTGTTTCTTGTGCGCACAAATATGATCGTCTGACCCATATTCTCTCCCAGTTCAAAAATTTTGTCTTTGATGACCCGAATTTTGGCAAGTTCATCAGGACATATCACCTTGAACTGCTTTACACCCTCCAAAGATAATTCTTCTTTCTTAACAAAAAGTTGATTGTAGTCTTTAACAACCCTAGAGACAAAGTATTTAACAGTCTCATTGAATGTAGCTGAGAACAGTAGCACCTGAAACATCAAAAAAATGAGATTAATATGGTTAGATGAATCCCTAGGATGTCCTTCATATATGTGTTGGAATTGGCGTTTACAACAGAGTAACTGGAAAGAGTCCCGTGGATGTGGGTAGAAATGGGCATGACATTGATCTTTTGCAGCTCACTATTTTATCTTGCATGCAAAAACTATAGGTGCCCACTACAGAGTTCTAAAAGATATCTCATCAACCAATCACTCGTGTTACATAGATAGTCCAACAATACTAGACGATTTAATATCCTTAGGACATTCTTTTCAAATGAAATTGAAAAAAGAAAAGGCACATAAAGCACACGTAAAATCGTCATGAGGACATATGACACATACATACAGTTATTTAATAACAAAGTAATATCTTCATCTAAATCACTTCGATAATGTACCCAGTTTGACAGACCTGGCAATGAGTACTACTTTTCTCAATATCCTTCATTATCCTCAATGAATCGTCCTTAAAGCCATCCTGTAGAAAATAAGATAAAATAATCTTAAGAAACTCTTTACAGAATCTAGAAATGACAACTTAATCAAAATCACTTTAATTAGTAACAAATAATGGATAGAAAGAAGCTTCTCTTGTAGTATTAAACAACTAATAAAGCAAAGCTATTTGCCATTGTTTGAAAGGTTAGTTCACAAACACAAAAGGACACATTTAACAAAAATACATCAAAGGCGTTGGAGTAAGATCTGGGATATTGTGGTCTTCGTGTTTCATCTTGGGCCTCTCTTTCAAGCTTCTTTGGTAACTATGATTTGGAGTACTATGGTCTTTGAACAGAGACCATGTTCTCAAGCCAACGTAATGAAACTCTAGAGTCAAATACCAATACATAAAATGTGAAAAAAAGATAATAAGCCACGGCAATACATCATGTGTAATCACTGCTCGCATATCCAACTCTACTGCACAGTGTTCTGAGGTATTGGTAGTGTCCCTTCTTAGAAAGCACTATCTACCTGGTAATCATTGTTGATCTACATCCAACGACACCATTTGTTGGAAGTCACCCAGAGGCAGAGACCACTTTCTCAGACAAAAATAAATAAACTATTACGGTTAAAGACAAACAGCCCACAGAATATATATCATGTATTTTTAACATTTCTATGACTTGCTCCAATGTTGTCTACAAAAATATCTCAACATGCAAAGTGCACGTTCCTTCATAACAAAGTCCCATCTCACCGGTGGTCCCTTTGAACCATCATTAATGATAAAAGAATATAACACATCCTACATTATGAAGAAACAGTGTTTCTGAATAACAAATGAAGAAGAGATCCGTACTTCAGAGTCATGGTGCTACAACAAGTGAAATTTATACATGATAATTTTGCAAGTAATAAGTGATATGTGCTTACCTCAGCAAGCATATGATCAGCCTCATCAAAAACAAGAATCTTCACACAACTTCCTCCAAGCTTCCGAGTTGACATCAGTCTCTTTATTGTGCCAGGAGTTCCAATGACAACTTGTGCAGTTACTGGTGCTCGCTTTGATGCAGATACATAGTTAGCACTATCCACTGGAACTGCACACTCTGACGTTATCCCTGTGTATTTCCCCATTTTCTTAAGAACCTCTATATTCTGCAAATGGAGATTTACCATAATCAGATGCAAGTTGAACAATACTAAATTCACTGACGCACCGAAGAACAATTATATGATTTCAAGATCTCTATGGCCATATAATGGGCTTCTTTTTAACAATCCCTAAGGCTTTTCCTAAAAACCAACAGACTAACATTGTCAAATTTTTGTTCATGAAATTTGACTCTACAAGTTATGTGTGGTTTAGGTTCCAAAAAAAAAATTTAGACAATTTTTCAAAAGTTCAAAAATTATATTATCAAGACTAATGTGAAAGAATTGTAACTTTCATCACCAAAACTCATACTGTAGAAACATCTATCTGATATTTCAAGCTCCTTATAAAGAAACGTTTTGAGCAGAGATTTTTTTTTTGAAGAAACGAGATATATTAAAACCAGACCCAAAAGGGAAAAGACAGCCCTCGAGAAGACACTCCCCTAGAGAACTACCACATTACAGCTTGCCAATTGTGAGAAAGTAAAACTAGACCGTAACTACAAAAGAATCTCCTATGAGTAAGACACCAAGAGGCCATAGTAAACAGTACATTTTCACAAAAAATATAAAAAATAGTAGACAGTTGAAAGTTTGTCGATTTCTTTCCTTCCAAATACTCCATAGGCAAGCTCTACTAGCACAGCTCCATAGAATTTTGGCTATGTTATTCCAAATACTCCATAGTGGAGATATTATGAGTTTATGTCACGTTTAAGGTTATGTTATTCTTTCTAATAGAAGAAAAATAAACGAATGAAAGTATCACGACCTAACATGAATAAGAGACAGAAACTCGTGGATATCAAAAGAAACAATAATAACAACATAAATAAGTGCTAAAGTCATGCTGTTAAACAAAATAGAAGGAGAGCTTTTACCTGTATGGCTAACTCCCTCGTAGGACAGATGCAAAGTGCCTGAGGAACCTTCAAGTTTGGATCAACACGACTCAACATCCCAAGTACAAAACAAGTAGTCTTGCCAGAACCATTGTGTGCTTGAGCAATTAAATCTTTGTAAGGAGGAGTCAAGATCATAGGCAAACTTATAGCTTGAATTTTACTTGGCTTTTGGAATTTCATCTCAACATATAAACCCTTCAATAACTCCGGAGACAGATTCAGATCTTCAAAAGTACTAGCTGATGAATACGGAGTATCACCGGTTGTCACCTACATCAAATAAAAATTTAATTAACCGAACAGCATGACAAGAAAGCCCACATTGCACAATTATCTAGCAAACAGACTACGACTTCTAAACAACTGCATAATTTTTACGAATCAACGATCTCAAAAAAGTTCTTATCTCTGTAGATCGGGAACTTAAATTCTGTTATTCCGATGCACGAAGAACCAAATCCCAGCCCGTTGTATGCAGCCAGCTTACAGTAAAGCTAAACCTCTTTGATCCTCACCAAAACCCTAAATGTTTCCTCAACTAAAATGGGAAACAGTATTCCGCACCAAATTCATCTCTATCGTTCACATCCCATTTCCTTCGCTTCATAGAAGCCCTCTCAACTTATTAGACTAGCACGCGCACTCGATAGAGAGAGGGAGAGACTTACCGCCGTGATGTTGGAGTCTTCGGGCTCCTCAAGAGTCTTTTCCTCTCGGATTTTAAGGGATTCCATGTAATCGGAAGGCGCAGAGGATGAATCTCCAGCATCAACCACGTCATCGTCTTCTTCATCACCCCAAGCACGTTTGGGCACTGGTGTAACTACGGTTGGGGCAGAACTGGAGCCGGCGGTGGCGGCGGCGGCGGCGGCCGGCGAGGCGGTGTCGGCGGGCGGCGAGATGGTGGCGGTGCCAGAGTCTGGAGCTGCGGAATCTGCCATCGATGATTCGCGCTTAAACAGAAAAACAAGCTCCTTTCAGCTGCCGCTATCTGCGTTTAAATAGTGCACCCCTGTGAGTAAAATCGGTCAATGGTCGTCAGATCCGGCCCAACTGTTTGAAAGCCCAGCCCATAAATTATTAACTTATTGGACAAGAAAACAAATATTTACATAGCAAAATATTCACAGAAATGTCCCTTAAATTAAATAGAATCAACTATTTACCATTATATATTCTCAATCTATATATATTATACACCATTACGTACTGTTAGATTATTTTGTTCATTTTTATCATAGTTTTTCCTTCATTGTACATAAATTTTATTTGCAATATTTGATTTTAAATTTTAAATCAAATCAATTTTCAAGGTGAACTTGGTATAATATAAAATATGTCAATTTTTTACCTAACAAAATTTTCCATTTGTATTTTAGTTTTAGATAAGTGTTGCAATATTTTCCTTAAACTTGACAAAATTTTGCAATTTTTTGATTTTCAATAAGTATGATAATTCCTATGAAATAATTATAAAACATATTTCACACAAAATTATATGATTTCAAATAAAAATTATTTTTTTCTTTTGAAACTCGTGTGTCCGGATCAGCTTGCACGCACATTGACTAATCACAAATCAACCGTCTGACCCTACTATATTTGGTTGACAAGGTAACTTGTAGGACATTAAATCTTAAGGTCATTCCCTCTAAGTCATTTACTATTTACATTAATCCTCATTAACCACTTGAATATCTCATTATGGTTAAAGAAAAATGACATTATAGTTGAATTTTATGTTGAAAGTTGTGAGTTTTGACAAAATTGCTTCAGCTTCGATTTTGTGCATTAATAAAATTTAATTTTGCACCAACCCTTAATTTAATAAAATTGATGAATTCTTTTCGATTTTTACATTTACTTTTATTTAAATATTTGTGGGTGAATTAGTAGCGTCCAAATGGATGAAATTGGGAATTACGATGAAATATTATACAACTTGTCAAATTTAGAGTTGAAAATTACTTTTTTTTTTCCCTGGATTTTTTAATTTCGATTTAGTTTTTTTTTTTCATATTTTGATTCAGTTTTGATTTATTTTTTTTTCCATATCTATTTTGTTATTTGGATTGTACGAATAATTACAAATCAATTATCCCTCAAAAAATATCACAAAGACACTATTTGAAGCAAGCATTTCATAAAGTAGACATAATGTTATATTTTCCTTCCATATCCGTACGTCTATTTATTTTTAAAATAAAGAAACGTGACATTAAATAGAGATAATACCTCTAAGAGTTATGTAAGAAGTGTAGTGACCACACATCACCATCATAATCCACGAAAGAAAATAATTGTTCCAAATGACATAAAAACGATCACAAATGACACACTTATCTAATAAAACAGCCTGCCAATTTAAAAAACTGGGAATATGAATAAATTTTAGTCAACGAACCCATTCTCAAAAGTCATCGGAAAAGAATCATCAATTGAGATATCTCGGTCAATTATGACACTCCACCATGACATATAAGAAATCTCTAATTCATTATTTATGATCTAATATTATTTATATTAAAAGAAAAATAGATACAATATTTAATTTAAGAATTTATTAATATTTAAATGGGGAGTTTGGAGAGATATTTGTTCCCCACCAGGGACGCATATGGATGTGTACCTTTTTTTTTTTCTTTTTTTTTGTAAAGGTACTCATTTATTTATTTATGTCAATATGGAGCCATTTGGGTTTAAATTTTAAAACTCCTTTATCAAAAGCAATTAAATCCAATTTAAATTCCATCAAAATACACTCCTATCTATCTAACTAAACATTTACCCATTTCCAATGCATTCACCAAATAATGAGAAAAAAACATTTATTTATTGTTTTTCCTGTTTCTCAAATTTCTTACTTTAACTATTTTTTTCCCTTATGTTTAGATTATTCAGAAATTATTCGTATTAAATTTTGACTATCGTCTCAAAAAACACAATCTATTATATTATACAACTCTTTAAAATATAGATGGATAGATAGAAAAATATTTTTAAAATTTACAAAAATACTTGTAGAAAAAGCATTATGTTTTTAGTTTTTAGCTCTCCTATTCTTCAGTTTTATGTTTTATGTTTTCTATCGTTAAAAAACAAACTACATTTTGTAGTTATTCATTTAAAAATACTATAATACAAAAATTGTATCCAACGCAGTTTTTACACATAGTAAAAATATTATCTTAAATAAGTACGTTAAAAAATCTTAATAATTATTGAATATTGACGGATCTATCTTGATCGCAGGGAGATAGAAGACTAGATAAATAAGAAATAATCATAAAATAACTAATAAATCAATATGATTATGGTAATATATGTAGACATATTTGACATTGTAAAGATACAAGAGAAAGCAAAGTTTGGATATTTTCACAAGTTACGATAAAATAATTAAATAATTTAATTGGTACTAAACAACAAGTAAAAGAGACATCCCCAATAATTGAACACTAGAACATAGAGGGGAGGCAGAGATTTTATTTTCCCTTGCATTGTGGATTGGCTGGCCATTCAAACTAAAATAGTTTTATTTACATCACATTGAAAAAGCCTTTCAAATTTAAATGAACTCGAAGAAATTACAGATAAAAATCATTTAATCGAATTAGAACAATCAAATTAGTATAATCCGAAAAAAATGATTAGATAATATATTACATTGTCATCAAATACCAGGAAGTAAGAAGAATTAGTTYCCTATGCAAAATTGAACACCCTATGAAAAGGTCGATCAAACTTAATTTGAATGTTATTGGCTTGCAATCTAGATCAATAATTACAAAGGCAGCAAAATTCATTATTCCAATAATCGTTTATTCACGTCATTAAAACACTAATCTCAAAAGAGATAAAGTTAAAATACTATACTACCCCTACTAGCCGTAGTGATTTAAAAGAAATATATAAAAACAATAACTTTTAAGAACACCACATCAGTAGCCAAAACAAGTACTAAATTACCCTAATTTAATCATATTAAAAAATGGGAAGTTATAAAATAATTCTTAAATAATTTGTAGCTCATAATTTAAAGTCTGTCGGTATCAAATTGTATTCAAATATTCTGTTTTTATTTTTTAATTTAACATCTAAATTAATTTAAGCGTTTGCCATTGAATCTCATTTTCTTTAAATTATTTAATGAATATGGATATGTCATTTGTTCATTTACCCCTATATGATATGCGTTTATATTATTTGTGGTCTTATTTTGTTTTCAAAACAAAAAAAAATTAATAAAACCACAAATAATAGGTCAAATTTTGGATTTTAAGACATAATAAATTTATTTTTATTTGCTAAGTGATTAATAAAAAAATAATAGCAACAACATATATATATACATATATTTGTAGACTAAAACATTATATTTGTAAATCTTAAAACAAAAGATCAACCCGAATTTAACTGAAAATGTCGTGAGTTTGAATTCCCATTCATATATGTTTTTGTATTACAAAAAGACAACAACAAAATAAATCATACGACTCAAGTGACAAGTGACTAAGACGTGGATCCTCAAATTTCAATTCATATATTTGAATTGTAATTAACAAAATAAATATAATTTAAAAATTGGTATGCTTATTTCACATTTTGCACAAATCACTATTGATACTTTCAAATCAAGTAGAAGTGGAGCCGAAAGCTCTAAAAAAAATGAGCAAAAGAGAAAAAAATAACACTTTATTGGCCACACTTTTTATACTGTGAGTTCTTCTGCAAACTCCACTTTGATCTAACCTTTTAAAGATTCAAGATCCCCACCAAGCTCATAATCCAACTCCCAATGCTATTTATTTTCTAATATTTTTAAAATTATTTTATGAACTAGTTTTTTTTTTAAACATGTTTTAGTTTAAAATGAAACATGATCAAAAGTTTAATGTCAAATTTGTGATAACTCAACTTTTGTACTATGAAAACGACTACGTACTATGAAAAAAATTAAATGTTAGATGAGGACTGCAAATTTTTTAATCACATATACTAAATAAATAGATGTATGGTTCAAAATTTGTATAATAAAGATATGATTTAATGGACTTAAAAATAAATTTTATTGGAAAATAGCATTTAAAAGCAAAAACCTTTAACAGTTTGAGAGTATATATATGAAGTATACTATTAAATGATATCTATGGAAAAAGATAGAAACCCTAAATTAGCAATTCTGACGTGAAATAAATAATTTACATTTATGGTAAAATAAATAAAAGTTTTGGCATTTAGAGTTGAATCTCCCTCTTTAGAAAAATAAAGATAAAAATAAAAAATAACGAAAGAACAAAAATAATAGACAAAAGAAAGGGCTATTTTCGACTTTCCACATCCATTTACGAGTCCCCAGTGAGTCTGTATATAAAGCTCGCGCAGATCCATGGTGGTTTTATGATTGAGCTTAATAAACCGAACTTAATCCAAAACCAATATTTCTCTCTCTCTATTTCACTGCAATGTGCAGAAGCAAACCCACAACTCCATCTTTGCTAATAAATTGTCCCTTCTGAGAGCTCGATTCCTGTAAATTCCACCGGAATGCGGGCCTTCTCTTCGTTGATCTTGGCCATGGCGTCCGTCGTTCTGCCGGCGACGGTGGTCTACTGTGGCTTCCCCGTCCGCCTTCTCTCTCTGGACAAGGCCTTCCCTTCGGCTCGCCCTGTCGAACTCGAGACGCTCAGAGCTCGGGACCGAGTCAGGCATGCCAGAATCTTGCAAGGTGTGGTGAGTGGCGTCGTCGACTTCTCAGTCGAAGGTTCTTCCGATCCATTGCTCGTCGGGTACCTCCTCTTCGTCTGAATTTTCTTTAATTCTTGTTGTTTCTCGCACTTTCGTGTATTTGTTGATTATCTAGGCTAGGATTATTGTGCTTTTCTTGGCTGCTTGTTTGATGGATTGTACTCGATTWCTGTCGTTCCTCTGATTCTCTGTATAGCGGCTGGTAATTCGTGCAGGCGAGAGAGAGAGAGAGAGAGATACGGAAAATGGAATGAAGAAAACGAAAGAGGAATGGTCGAGTTGATCTTATTGTCTGATGATTGGAAAAAATGTTTTTCCTTCTCCTTTTTCTTTTCTCTTGTTGTTGGTCTAACAGCGAAGTAATAATAAATACTACTTTAATTATTTCTTTGCTTCTTTCTTGTTCTTCTTTTTTCAAAATTTTCGGTGGATGTTAGTGTTACTTTACTCACGCCGTAAGTTAAAGCAAATATAGCCGTTTGTTTCTTTGGGGCRTCTTTTGGCTTCAGAATTCCTGGTTGTTTCATTTCATGTTTGATTTGATTGGACTGGCTCCCGAACTTTATAGGTTAGCGAACTTTTTATTTCCATGGTTTATGGCTTGTTCAGGCTTTACTTTACCAAAGTCAAATTGGGCACTCCCCCAAGGGAATTTACCGTGCAGATCGACACTGGAAGTGATATATTGTGGATCAACTGCAATTCCTGCAATGGCTGCCCCGGAACAAGTGGACTTGGAGTAAGAGTCTTTCTTCCTTTCTTCCCTCTTTTGTTAGTTTCAAATTGCCCCATGGCCCACATGTTAAAGTCCTTATTTTAGTTTACCTTGTGCAGATTCAACTAAATTTCTTTGATGCGTCAAGCTCATCAAGTTCTTCACTCATCTCCTGCTCTGACCCAATTTGCAATTCTGCATTCCAAACAACTGCAACTCAGTGTTCATCTCAGAGTAATCAATGCAGTTACACTTTTCAGTATGGTGATGGAAGTGGAACATCAGGTTATTATGTATCTGAGTCCATGTACTTTGACATGATTATGGGACGTTCTATGATTGCTAACTCTTCAGCTAACGTYGTTTTCGGGTGAGTTACTATAGGATGGGCACAATTTTTACACATGAGATTGAAAATTACTATTTGAACGGCGTAGCACATGTAATTTAAATGAACTCTGTGAGGATGAAATAACCTTTTTCCTGACAAAATATTTATATCTGAATGGACTTTCAACCAGTATTTGCCTTGAACTAACCTTTCTACCTCATGGTCATGCTAGATTTTGAATTCTGACTGTTGTTTTCGCCAATGTGCTACTGTGGATATTGCATTTTACTTTTACATTTTCTGGAAATGCTGAATACATCATATGGTTTTCAAATGCAGTTGTAGTACCTATCAGTCAGGAGACTTGACTAAAACAGACCATGCAATAGATGGCATTTTTGGATTTGGCCCTGGGGATTTGTCCGTCATRTCACAGTTGGCAGCTCGAGGGATAACCCCTAAAGTATTTTCCCATTGTCTAAAAGGAGAAGGAAACGGTGGTGGTATATTGGTTCTTGGTGAGATTTTGGAGCCGGGCATTGTCTATAGCCCACTTGTGCCCTCTCAGTATGTCACCTTCATCATTTCTTTTTCAAGAAACTAGTTGTTTTATTCTGTAACACAGTAAATATAGTAGATCACCTATTCAGAGGATAGTCTTTCAATGTCACAGAGACACATTCAAATTATTTTCAGAAAGCATTTGGTACTACAGAAGCCTAAATTGAGAGTTCACTACTGAAAAACCTTAAGTAAAAAAGTTGCAACCAATTTCWATTTATCATAGGTAACTGATTTCTATATATATGTATATTTTTAAGAGAACTKCCAACTTGAATGTGTTTTTTGCATAACTCATTGCTGATATTAACTTTTAGGAATGCATTAGCTACTTAATTTCCTTTGCTACAAATGATTGCTCTCTGATGGTTGTTTTGCTGCACAAGCACCTCCGTTCCAATCTCTTTCCTATAATTGAGAGATGATCCACTAGATTTGAGTCTAGGAAGAAGTACATTTAAACGTTTATTTTACCAGCTATCGAAGATCTGAATTTTAGTTGGCACCCAACTGCATGGTTTACCTGCTTCAGGTTTTTATTTTACATTTGTGCTTATGTTGCCAGACAAATGTACTAGTTTTGTTTGAATGTTTGACTGTTTCCTCATTTAAAATATCAGGCCTCACTATAACTTATATCTGCAAAGTATTGATGTCAATGGTCAGACTTTGCCAATTGATCCATCTGTGTTTGCAACATCAAACAATCGAGGAACTATTGTAGACTCTGGGACAACATTGGCTTACCTTGTCGAAGAAGCATATACTCCATTTGTCAGTGCTGTAAGTTCTTTTCCGTTATGTCACCATCAATTTTTTTGTTATTGCGGTGACCTATTAAATTTGGGTGTGCATTTTTTTAATATTTACTTCTCCCCACAAACAGAACAGAAGGGGAAATAACAGTCACAGGTTGATAAATTGATAGCAATTTCTTGTTGGTTTATATGTGCAACTGCTCCAATGTGTTATTGTTTTGACTTGTCTAGATAACTGCTTCTGTTTCCCAATCTGTGACTCCTACAATTTCAAAGGGAAACCAGTGTTATCTAGTATCCACCAGGTTTGTCTCTACTTTTAACTGTGCCGAAAGGGGTGTAGTCTGACCTTTGAGATAAAAATTCCAATCTTCGACTCACCCAACTATTGAATGGGGTAAAATTCACTTCTATGTCCAGTGTAGGTGAGATATTTCCTCCAGTTAGCTTAAACTTTGCGGGCAGTGCATCTATGGTTTTAAAACCCGAAGATTATCTTATGCATCTTGGATTTTATGTAAGCTGTTAGAGATTCATTTCTTMAATTGTATATCAGACGATCGACGGTGTCAGGATATTGATACCGCTTTATTCTTGTAGGATGGTGCTGCATTGTGGTGTATTGGTTTTCAGAAAGTTCAGGAAGGAGTAACAATTTTAGGAGGTTAGTCCCTGAACTTAGACTTATATTTTAATGTGAATATGTGCCATAACTTGTAATGAAATGCTCCAATTTCATTTTATAAAATCAATTTGCATCTGCTGTTATACGTAGGATTCAACACTTCATTATTATATATCACACTACTCCACGCATTCTCATTTTACGTGCCTTCGTCTTGCAGATCTCATTATGAAAGATAAGATATTTGTATACGATTTAGCTCGCCAGCGAATCGGGTGGGCCAACTATGATTGTAAGTTAAAGATACRCAAGTCGATGTGCATAAATCTGTACTAAGTACAACCCCATTGAACAACTTTAATTCGTATTTTTGTGAAAAAAACTAGGTTCTCAAGCTGTAAATGTATCAGTCACTTCTGGGAAGAATGCGTTCGTCAATGCGGGACAACTGAGCGTGAGCCGCTCAACCCGAGATAAGCTTCTTCAATCACTAACTATGGAAGGATTAACTCTGTTAATAACGAGTTCCATTTTGTTCTTCCACTTCTAGTTTCTGTATCTTTAGCTATAGTTCTCAAATCCCCATTCTTTGCACCAATTGTTTCCCCTCCAGTCTGTATTTATGATGATTAGTAGGGGGCTGTATTGTCAGTTGTGTAATTATTTTTAGACCATATGAGTTGCAATTGGGCCAGAAATTGAGTCACAGGTTGAACATTTTGGCCCACTGATGAAATGGGCCGTCTTCTTTGGGTTTGAAGTCAGGCCTCCATCTTGTAAAGGGCCCATATTCTGAGCAAGGCCAGAGTTGTAAATTATGTTCTAGTGTGTTGTAGAGGATCAACCTTTTTTTCCTTCATCTTTTCTTTTTTTTTGAGGATAATTGTAATTTGCTCTTGATAAGTGATAACAATTGTAACTGTATTTTAGSTTAGCATATGAAGTGTTGCCTCTTTCTATAGATGGGCAGGTTTAGATTTTTGTAATTTAATATTTTCCTGGTTAAAAAATATATTTTGTTTTTGTATTTGAAAGTAACAATTTAATTCTTAAATTTTAATTTATAACGATTTTGTCTATGCTATTTCAAATTGGTAGCAATTTAGTCTATGTAATAATTTAGTTTCTATAGTTTAAAATTTGTTACAATTTACTCCTAATGTGAAAATTTTCATCAAAATTAAGTATCGATTTATGTATAAAAAAATTTATTGAATCTTAACAAAAAATTTCACGATAGGAAATAATTTGTTATAAACTTTAAACTACAGGGATTAAAATTTTTACATAGTATAATTTAGAAATTAAATTGTTACAAATTCAAAGTTGAAAGTATATGATTAAATCGTTATAAATTAAAATTGATGGATTAAATCRCGACTTCAATAAAAGTACAAAGACTAAAAATACTATGTTTCAGCTGATTTAGTGTTCTATTCATTGTTTTATTTATTTATTTTAATACGACAAATTAAATGTATGAGAGTTCGAACTCAAGGGAATGAGTATAATTTTTTTTGGGTAAATTGCAAAAACCACCCTAAAGTATGATGGTTGTTATAATTGCACCCTCGAACTTTCCATTGCAAAAATTAAACCCTCAAATTTTCAAAAAGTGAAAATTGAACCCCTAAACTTTCAATTTTAAAAATTAAACCCTAAACTTCAAAAAATTAAATCTYTCTCCTCCTTTTTACTTTCTCTCTATTCTTCCTCTCTCTACTTTGTCACTCTTAAGAACTGTCTGGTTTCTCTTCGTCGACACCATCGTATGAAATGGAAATGAAATTAGAGTAAAAATAGAAGGAAAAAAAACTTTATTTATGTCATTTGGTGTTGCTAGCAGCCATTGACGAAGCTTTAATTTGGGTTATGTTATGATATTTGCAGACTGTAAAGATTTACGGTAGATTTCGGCAAATTAACTTCAAATATCTTCTTCAATCTCCATCAATTTTATATTTAATGTATCAAATTTGTTAACAGAAAACCTCAAACTGAGCAGAGAAAAATATCGTCTGTGCAGGGAAAGGTGGATTCGATGGCCATTGCGGCGGACTTGAGGTACGACGAGAACTGCAAGAGGGCAGTGAAGCCGTACGGTCGGATCGACCTTGTGTTCAACAATGCCATCGAATAGCACAAGTGTAGTTTCATGGAAGGCATCAACGAAAGAGTGTTTAGAATCGAATTTACACATCCCTAAACTTCTGCAATTTCTATTTCAATTTCGTCCTTAATCGATCATTTTTAGAATTGAAAATTTCAAAAGAAGGAAATTAGKTACTACCAAAATGTGATGAACGATGATGGYGGAATGTGTGRTAAGAGGAAGTAATTGGATATTTGCAGAGACCGTAGAGGGAGGGAGAACAGGAGGGAGAAAGTCGAAAGAGATGAGCGAGAGTAAAAATTAATTTAAATTTTCCAATTTTAAAGGTTGAATTTTTGGAAATTGAAAGTTTAAATGTGAGTATTTTCACTTTAGCAGGGTCGCAGGATTTAAATTTCACGCTTAAAAGTTTATGGGGGCAATTTTTTCRCCCTTAAATTTTAAGGGTTTAATTTTTACAATTGAAAGTTGGAGGGTACAATTGTAACAGTCATCATACTTTAGGATGATTTATGCAATTTACCTTTTTTTTACTACATTATATTCATTATTTATTCCAAGTTCACAATTCTCGAATTATTTCTTAAAGTAATTAATAGAATTTAAAATGGATACCCATTATGTAAAATTTAACTAAAGTATATATTTATAYAGAAATGGGGTGAGTGATATAGAAAACTGCCTTTCCTTCAAGAATAAAATAATAATAATTGAATATATAACATGTGGGGTGAGAATTTACATAGTAGTCTAGAACCTTAACTGTTTTTTTAGAATATGCTCAATAGTTTATTACTAGATCTTTTTAGACAAAGATATATATTTTAATGCAATATATGKGATTAAGATTCAAACTCTCGGCCTCATAGCAACTATTGAATTTTCATGATTTTTATTAATAAAACCACTATTTGCAAAATTACATAAAATAAACTTAACAAAATTTGAACCAAGYTAAATCATTACCAAATTTAAACTACATGACTAAATTGCTACCAATTTAAAAATACATATATTAAATCACTACAAACTAAAGTTCACAAATTAAATTGTTATTTAATTGGTATTGGACCAAACAACCTATTATAATGGTATCAATAGTTTGTGAGGTTTCATGAACCAACAAAATAAATGTGATTGGATATATCTCCAACAAGAGGGTGTGAGTTTGAATGTCTACTAAAAAAAGTGTGATTAAAACAAGATCACGAGAGGGTCAAATCAGTAATTTAATAAAAGGRAAAATAAAAAGTAATTACCAAAAGATTGTTCAAATTCAAAACAAATTTGGCTTAAGTTTTTCCTTAAATCTCGAAGAGAAAAAAAAAGTTTATTTTTCGCAAATAAATAAATAAATAATTCAATCTTTGACTTTGTAACCTTTCCCAAAGAGGATTCTTCTCTACCACATGACCCAATAAAAAAGCTTCCGATAAAAATTCTCCCTCCCAAAAAAGTAATATTAAAAAAATAATAATAAATAAACAAAATCTTCCGGTAAAAAAATTAGTTTTGAAGCAGTCTTAACGGGTTTGTGGGGCCCACATATTTTACCCCGCCTCTTTTTTACACATGCCCCTATTTTTACGCTTCCCAGTTGAACATTCCAAATATTCATTTTTTTACCGTCTACCGGCTGTATCAGTCCCCTATTAGGAATTACTCGCACCCCAAAAAACCGGCAAATAATATTTCAATCGTGCCCAATACGGCGCCGTTTCGATTTAATTTCTGTTTAGTAAATAAAGTAATACAACACATTAATACGATAATTTTAATTTTCATGTCATACTTTAAAATAGAAATTCCTTTTCGAATATTTCCTAAAAGGTTGTGGAAAAAGAATCAAGCGACCGGAAGGTAGATCCCACGCGCGAAGGCGCGCGTGGGGCTGATTCGATGCTAGGAATCTTTATAGCAAACGGCTCAAGCTCTGCATCCATGCAAAATCCTCACTCGTCTCTCAATCTCACTCTCGAATCGTACTCTCTCTCTCTAGAATCCCTTTCTTCCCCATAATCTCTCTAAAACCCGTTTCCGAAACGGAAATTTCCTCCCTTCAATCTGTTTTTCATCACTCTCTGCATTTATTCCGTAATAATAATCAAGCAGATTCTAAAGAAAACGTACGTCGATCGTCCCCTGCATTTTCTGGAGAAATACTAGTTGTGAAGGAGGAAGAAGAAGAAGAAGAAGAAGAAGAAGAAAAAGAAACGATTCCCAGGCATTGTTAAGGTTTGCGATATGTTCTTTTTGATGTTTCCCTGTGTGTTGGGGTTTTTCGATTGTAATCTGTTTTGTTTTTGCGTTTCTTTAATCGATAGCAGAGTTTCGATGATGGCGGTTTCTCAGACGGTTCATGTGTCCCCTGCTTCCCTCTACGTTGGCGACCTTCATCCTGATGTCACTGATGGTCAGCTGTTTGATGCTTTCTCTGAGTTCAAGAGCCTCGCCTCTGTTCGCATCTGTAGAGACTCCTCCACTGGCCGCTCTCTCTCATATGGCTACGTCAATTTCATCTCTCCTCCAGATGGTATATTCAATGTTTTCATTCCTGTCGTTCATCGTTTGATTACATGGATGGTTACCTTTAATCCGGGGATACAACGTTGGATTTCTTCTTTTCTTGCTTTCTTGCGTTGAGATTTCAAATAACCAATGTAATGTATTGATTGAAATTTGGATGAACTTCTTTTTGTTCTTCAATTTACTGTAGAATTATTCATGGACGTCTTATTAGTTAATTTTTACTGTGGTTTTGATCGTTTGCTCACTATTTTTCTCGATCTTGAAATTTGATAAATAATTAAAAAACATGGTTGTTGGAACAATGCAATTATTTTATTCACTAGGTTCATTAGAGGCCGGTTAGGGATTCTGGTTTTATATTTATTTGCTAACTCCAACTTTCTTTTCGTTTGCCTCATCTTCTGTTTGGTTAAAGGGAATTTGGGAAGGGGCATAATGGTCATTTGTAAGATGTTTTTATCCACCATTTGTTGCTTATTTGGAACTGGTGCTGTCTGTGATTAATTCTTGCATAATATCTTAGATGTTCCATTTTTTTTTGATGATTTTGTGACTGTCTTTCTCTGTCTATCTGATTAAAAACAGCAATCAATGCTATGGAGGTAATGAATCACACTGTGCTGAATGGCAAAGTGATACGAGTCATGTGGTCGCATCGCGATGCTGATGCAAGAAAAAGCGGAATTGGAAAYGTGTTTGTTAAGGTTTTTGCTGTTTTTACAGAGTGTTATTTACCTGAAAAATTAATATCACGTTCTTCATATATGTATAGTTACAGCTTAATGATGTATTGTTCTTTTTCCGTTTAATTTGACTAATCAATSCAGAACTTGAGCGATTCAATCAATAGTTTAGGACTTCAAGAGCTATTCAAGAAATTTGGAAATGTTCTGTCCTGCAAAGTTGCAACATCCGATGATGGGAAGAGCAAAGGATATGGCTTTGTTCAATTTGAGACTGAGGATTCTGCAAATGCTGCCATAGAGTCGCTGAATGGTTTCACCATTGGGGATAAGCAGATGTAAATACAGATCTTTTCTCACTTCATAAGCCATGAAATATTATCTGATGATGCATATTATTAACAAATTTTAGTAACTGTGCAATGCATATTTATTTATGTGTATTAATTTACACTCACCATACAAGTACACGTGTTACAGATATGTTGGAAAGTTTGTCAAGAAAAGTGAGAGAGTTTTGGCAAATCCTGATGTTAAATACACGAATCTGTATGTAAAAAATCTGGACCCAGAAGTTGGGGAAGAGTTTCTGCTGGAAAAATTCTCGGAGTTTGGAAAAATTTCCAGCTTGGTTATTTCAAAAGATGAGAATGGGATGTCAAGGGGTTTTGGCTTCATTAATTTTGACAACTCTGATGATGCCAAACGGGCACTGGAAGCACTTAATGGATCACAACTTGGTACTAATTCATCTTTGTCCTCTTTGGCCTCAGCTAGATTATTGAACTTATACTTAATCTAATGAGTATTTTTTTTTTTTAAATTTCACTATTGATTACTATTTATTAGGTTCAAAGATTATCTACATTGCAAGGGCACAGAAGAAGTCAGAACGTGAGCAAATATTACGTCGACATTTTGAAGAGAAACGTAAGGAGCAAATGTTAAAATGCAAGGTAGCTTCCAAGATTTGTCATTTTCATTTTTGGTATGCTTATAGTCTCTGTCTTCTCCTAACAATATCTCCTACAATGTAGGGCTCGAATGTGTATGTGAAGAATATTGATGATGATGTAACTGATGAAGAACTCAGAGAACTTTTTAGTCAGTGTGGCACAATCACTTCATCAAAACTTATGCGGGATGACAAGGGAATAAACAAAGGGTTTGGATTTGTTTGCTTCTCTAATCCTGAGGAAGCTAATAGAGCTGTAAACACTTTGCATGGTAAATTGATAGCTCTATTAATATAAAATATTTTAAATGCATTTCGAATTACGGTGTTTTGTTGTTTTGTTTTTTATTTGATCAGAATTGTGAATAAAACATTCATTTTGCGCACAAAACATATTAACTGGTATAGCCAATCTTGTTTAAGCTTTGATATTTAGAATTCAGCATCTATTTATTGTTTAGTGTCAACCTGTCGTTTTTTTAAGTCCTTACCTGGTTTTGGACTTCGGATACCCACAGGATGCATGTTCCACCGGAAGCCACTCTATGTGGCCATAGCACAAAGGAAAGAGGATAGACAAGCACAATTGAAGCTTCAGTTTGCACAACGATTGGCGGGGATAGCAGGACCATCAACTCCGCTTTTTCCTGGTGGATACCCACCTTATTACTACACAGCACAAGGTGTTCTTCCACAAGTACCATCCCGTCCAGGTCTGATGTTTCAGCCTTTAGGATTAAGGCCTGGATGGAGAGCTAATACTTTTCCATCTCCAGCACGACCGGTCGGTTTTCAACCTTCACCTATACCTGTTGTAAGTTGCAACTTTTCTAATCTAGATGTCTTCTGCTGCCATCAGTTTCTGCATTTTGTTTCAGCAAAACCGAATTATTGTTTCTAGTTGAACTTTGTCTTTATCTCTGAACACAATTTTCTTAGCCTCTAGACTTTTACTCCACAGATTCCAAATGCTCCTAGGCAACCAAGGCAAAACAGAGGCAAAATGAACGGGCAAGTGCTTTCTCAAAATGGTGCCCAGCCTCTCTCTTATATGCCAAATCCACAGGACAGCAATCCAGTAGTTACTGCAAAATCATCCGGCAATCAACCGGTATACTGTCATGGTCTTTCTACAAATTATTCACTTGCCTTTAATGTCTTGTACTTGTCCCATAGTTCTATCAATATTTATGCCATAAGATTTTGGAGTGGGATAGACTTTCTCCKGATGGTTTTTTCTTTTTGATTCATTCTGTCTTGGGATCTTTTCAATTTTCTGGTTAATCCGTAATGTTCGGTACTTCCACAGAGGTGTTTTGGACTGAATATTGATGATTTGTTAAGAATCTTGTGGGGTTCTCTTTTTCCAACTGTAGTGACCCCGTTACTAATTCGGATTATATTTTAGTCGGGCAAATACCATTCCAAAGCCTTGTTTTATGGTGTTCCTGCCATTTATACTGCAAAATCTGACCTTCTGAGGCTTCTTTTGTAGTGGACTGGACAGGTTAAGTATGTCCCAAATGGTCGCCCGCGTGAAACAAATAAAGCTTCTGGACCCTCATCTGCTGCCTTTAGTTCTGTTGGAGATGTCTCTCAGGGATCACAAATACTGAGCAGCATGCTGGCTGCCTCTCCCCCTGACCAACAAAAACAGATCCTTGGGGAGCATCTCTACCCACTAGTCCAGAAACACAAGGTAACACCGGTGCGGTCGAATCATATTTAAATTTGTAGAGATCTTTAGTTTGTCATTGAAAAAACTGCTACTGCTACTTGGAAAATGTATATGAATGCTCCTATACAATATTTTGGTGTGTGATTCTGAGAACTGAAAATGCATAACTTGCAGCCGGAGCTGGCCGCGAAAATTACCGGGATGCTTCTGGAGATGGACAACACAGAATTGCTGCTGCTGTTGGAGTCACCTGAATCTTTGGCTGCAAAGGTGGAAGAAGCAGTGCAGGTGCTTAAGATCTCCAAGACAAAAATGTCCAACCAAGACACTCTCAGTAGTTACTTATCAGCTGAGGTTGCAGTCAACTGAAAGAAAGAAAGCAAGCAAAAACAAACTGCTCGAACACTTAATTCACTTTCTCAGCGAATTCTTCTAGCTATTAGAGAGCTTAACTCGAAGTTCCGGGAGAGTCAAATTTTTGATACTGAACAATCCAATCCATTTCTGGCCTGGAGAGGAGTTTTTTTCTTTTCAGATTTTTGAAGTCAGTTTTTTTTTTCAATTTTATTTTTTTGAGGAACATTTTAATCTTTCTTTTGCTTAGAACTACTAACCCTTTACTAGTCTAGTGGTACTCTTTTTTTTTTCTTCTYTATTTTTTTTTTCTGTCAAGATGTTTGTTCTGTTTGGAAATTGGATTTGTTGAACGCTGTTTTCTAATTTTGAGAATAGTAGAAAGCATTTTTTTTTCCCTCCCATGTGCATACTCTTGTTGTTTTATTGTAATTTAGGCAGAAATTTTTGTTACCTTAACCAATTAAGTTATTTCTTGAATTTAAGTCATAAATTTAATTTAGAAAACCATTTGTTTAAAATTGAGAAAGTTCAAGAAAGTATTTTAAATCACATACTTTGAAATATGAGCAATAATTTAGAATTTTTTAAAATTAGTATTATTAAGGCATAAAATAAATAAATATTTTTAAATATATTAAACGACTTTAAAGTTTTATGAAACTAGCATTACAAGGTAACAGCAAAAAAGATACTTATGTTATGTTTAGAACAAAGTTAAAAATTGCGATACTTTAAAAAGTATAAATTTATTATGAAATTAAATTTCTATATAACTTTTTGTTCAGGTATTTCATATTTGTCGGGAGTAGAGAGAAAATAAAAAGTTCATTAATATATTATCGAGTCTTTTAATTTTAATTTATTTATATAAAAATAAATATATGAGACAGTTAAATATAACTGAAACTAAAAAAAGTAAATTATTAAAAAAAAATTGTGAATTTTTCTAAACTCTACCGTTTTGGTYTGGAAAATTTTTAAGAACATGATTTTGAATTATCTTTTTCATTTACAAACATCAAAATTTATTTGAAAATTGAAATCCACCCAATTCTAGAATCATTTAAAATAAAAAAAGCAAATCATTACATATTGAGATAATTGGACAAACTAAATTAATGTCCTAGATTTTACCTTTATGATGTTTTTAACAAGTAAAAAATGTCTTTAAGTCATTGTAGTTTCAAATATTTATAATATATATCTAATCATTTCATCTTTTTACTAGTACTTCCATTTATTTAAATGGATGTCACCAAACACTTACTAAATATACTTAAAATAAATATGCTGATATACAAATATTTATTAAAAAATGTTTAAAGTATAGTCTGATACAATTTTGAACATTAAAAAATCTATTAGAAATTTGCCTCAATTGATTAAAGGATTATTGATTAAAGTTCAAATCCTTACCCGTTATTGGACTAAAAGAAATTTGTTATCATCTTTTTAACTTTTAATTTCACATTTATCTTATTTAAAAAAAAAGATGAAAAAAGGTGGGGAAAGAGAACAGATAAACCGGGTCGGATTGATCGAAACGGTACCCTAACTGCAACTCCAATCAATTTCTCTCTGGTCGGATCCTCGTAGTCACAAGAGGGCGTGATCGGCGATTGCTGATTTCTCCGGTGACGGACCGGCGGCGTGCCGCGATTGATATTCTCTCTGCAGTATGGGTACCCACGGCCGAAGCAGTGAGAGGAAGAGAGAGAAGACGTCATCTTCCAAGAGACGCAGCCGAAGAAGGTCCTACGACTCTGAATCTGATTCCGACGAGACGGACAGCCGTGATTCATCTCCTGTGGCGAGCTCCAGAAAGCGCAGGGAAAGTGGCGGTGGTAGCAGAAGCAGCCACCGGAGTAGGCGACGGAACTCCTCGCGCGGGCGGGATTCCGGAGATGATAGTTCGTATGAAAGTGATGGCAGCGACGATGGAGGTCGCAAGAAGATTAAGTCTTCGAGGAAAGTTACCGAAGAGGAGATTAGCGAATACTTGGCCAAGAAAGCGCAGAAAAAGGTTTCGATATGGTTATGTTTTGTTTCCTTAGTGTACTTTGGTTAGTTTCGTTGATTTATAGAGTTTCATAAATCTTTTCATTTTTGGAGTTTTCGTACTAATTTTATTATCTACTATACTCTTCTCTATTGTATAGGCCTTGCGAGTTGCAAAGAAATTGAAGTCGCAGACAGTTTCTGGTTATTCCAACGATTCGAATCCCTTTGGCGATTCCAATCTGAATGAAAAGTGAGTGGTTTTATCTTTTTTGTGTTTGCTAAAATTGCAAAACTCGTTGCCCGGATTGTACTGTTGTACATAGAATGGTCCGTATACGGCACTTGCAGTCTGATTGTAATTGGTTTTCGAATGTGCGTACAATATTCACTGGAATCACGGGCACTTTCATTCTGATTGTAATATTTCACTGACAAAAATGCTTGATCAAATCTATTCATTCTGGTGAATATAATTCTAGTGCCCCTCTTATTATAAAAGCTATACAGTTCGATGAAGAAGTATTCAGGTTTAGTGCTTGATTTTAGCGCCATACCTATCTTCTTGGAGTTTTAGCTAGTTGCCGGGGATTTATGGGAGGTTTATGTTGTTAAAATTTCAATGTATATTCTAGTGAATTCACTTCTTCTCTGTATTCTTGGTTGACCAATGGTTTGATAACTCAGAAAATTTCAAAGCCAGATACTATTACATGGTAGTTTGAAATTGTTTCTGAGTCCGTGACAACCTAATCTGCAGATTTGTTTGGCGAAAGAAAATTGAGCGTGATGTTACCCAAGGTGTACCGCTTGATGCCTTTTCAGTGAAGGCCGAGAAAAAAAGACAGAGAGAAAGAATGGTATGTGCTTCTAGTCCCCATGTTCATARTTTCTTTTTCTCTGATGAGAAAATAAACTTTTATAAATGAAAGAACATAAGAACCAAGTCAAAAAGAAAGCCTGCAGTAAAAGCGAGCCAACAAAACAAAAAGACCAAATAAAATTGCAAATAAAAAAATGGTAGAAAAAGGCTACAATTGTTATTCTTATTTTTTTTAATAAAAGAATTTTGGGGTTGCACTTAAAAGGGAAGCCCTAGGTGCTTTTGTTCATCTTGGGATGCCTTTATTACATCTCCTTAAATTCTCTGTCTTCTTATTTTTTGTTTCCTTTTACTCACGTGGGAGTTTGTATCATTGAACAATTTTGTTCCTTTTCCTCTATCAATAGAAATTTTGTATCTTGTTCAAAAAAAATTTCCATTCTAATAACAATCTAATTGGTTGTTGGTTTGAAGGGTTACATTCAAGAGTTCAAGTTTCCTTCAATTCATACTTTCGATTTAATAAAGTTCTTATTCCATTGATCTACTAATGCAATGCTGAAGTCTTTGAATTGATGTGTGATTATGCACTATTTGTATTCATTGCACGTTTGAATTTACAATGTAGGCTGAGATTGAAAAGGTGAAAAAGAGGAGGGAGGAAAGGGCTCTTGAAAAAGCGCAGCATGAGGAAGAAATGGTAATCAGATTGTCGCACAAATATTCATTATTATTTTTCTTTTATTTTAGTTAGATAGCTCTTGTCAATTTGCAAGTGCGGTAAGTTTTCTTTCATGTATTAACTCTTTTTTTTCTGCTACAGGCATTGCTAGCTAGAGAACGTGCTCGCGCTGAGTTCCAGGATTGGGAGAAAAAGGAAGAAGAGGTAGTATGCTCACTTGCTATTACATTCCGTGTACTCTTTTATGTTTCCTTTGTATGTGGTTTTCCATTATGTGTTGTGCTTTTATTGTACATGACCCCCTTGGACAGTTACTCATGGTGAAGTTTTTGGCCCACAGTTTCATTTTGATCAAAGCAAAGTCAGATCAGAGATAAGAGTTCGTGATGGGCGTTCGAAGCCTATAGATATTCTATCCAAACAACTGAATGGATCAGATGATTTTGATATAGTAATTGATGAGCCATACACTGTATTCAAGGTAGATGTCTCTCTGGTTATAAAGCTTATGGTCGTTCTTAAAGTTCTCCCTGTGGATTACTTGTGTTTTCTGTTCAAATACCAGTTGTTACTGAAGAATTAAATTATTACAAATTAACTATGTTCTTCTTAGGTGATGGTCTCGTATGCAACCTATTCCTGTTCTTTGTTTAGAGCAGGAGGAAAGGGCTTTACATCTTTAAGAGTTATGAACAGAAGCTTTTCTTATTCATCTGCATTTTTTTTTTCTCACTCTGTTTGATCTTCTCAATTTTTCTTTTCCAATTGTGGTAGCAAACTTGTTCTCACTTCGAATATGGGCTATTTCTAAATGGGAATTTTCTTGACATCAAGTGTGCTATTAACTCTCCTTTTATTTTAATTTTTAAGTGAAATCCATGCGGTCATAAGTGACTGAAGTCTTCATATTTTTAAGGGCTGGTTTTGTTCTATATTTTCATTTTGGTTTAGTTTCTAAATATTATTTTTTCCAACTACAGGCACATATGATATGTATAAAAATTCGATTGACTTCTCAAATTGGTACTGGCATGTATGATGCAGGGCTTGACAGTGAAAGAAATGGAAGAGCTTCGGGATGACATCAAAATGCATCTTGATATGGACAGGGCAACACCTACACATATCGAGTATTGGGAGGTGAAAATATTTATTGGTTTTCCTATTTATTCTTTGAAGAGGTTTTATGTCGAATTACAAGTCTCAATGGAGTGTCAGCAACTAATTCTTGACCCCGACCTTTGACAGAGCAACATGTACATATTAAGAGGGTGTTCTCTATGTGTCCTTGAATTAGTTAACTTGAAATTTTACCCTAAACCTTTCCTTTTATATTGTCAATCTACTATACACCATCGGATATTGTTTTACTCGATATTAATAAATCTTTTTGTAGTTCCCTTAAAATCATTACTTGACTAGAGCTTCTGTTTTTTATTTAGCAACTCTACGGCCAATTTTAGTATTTGTAGACACTACCTTGTGATGTTTGTTAAACTGATGCCTGGTAACTTGAGGTTGAGGGTTGAG